GGGGGGGGGGGGGGGGGAATAACCCAATTTTTCTATCTAAAGAATCAATTAGTAAATATTTCTCGGATTTCACTGTATCAAGAGAGACATCTTGTCTGGGACAACCTGCCCGGAAAACTGTAGATCCCTGAAAAAATATCATAAATCAAATTTTTAAATTTTTAAATTTCTCTGAAAGAACGAAGTCACTGTTAGCGTTTTAAAATAATGTTCTTTAAACGTTGAGGGACAGTTAATTCATTCTCACTGATTTATTTACAATACCGGGGAAAACAGCACATGAAGCTGGAATATATTCGGTGGAGGGGTTAAACAAAAAATTTATATACTTAACATATGTTTTATAAGTCTCTGAAAAAAAAGAGGATTGACAGGGGATTGGCAGAGGATTGCCAGGGGATTGCCAGGGGATTGGCAGATGATTGACAGGAGATTGGCAGAGGATTGCCGGGAAATTGCCAGAGGATTGCCGGTAAATTGCCAGAGATAAGATTTGTATAATTAAGAAAGACATTTTAATTGTTAAAAATAGAAAATGCAGATCCCGTGACATTTAATTAGTTACACTACACTTATACGCTTAATGAGTCAAGGACAATTTATTACAGAAGTTCTCCAGACAGGTAGACAGGTAGACAGGTAGACAGGTAGATAGATAGACATTTAGACAGATAGACAGATAGACAGGTAGACAGGAAGATAGGTAGACAGTTAGACAGGTAAACATGTAGACAGGTAGACATGTAGACAGTTAGACAGATAGACAGATATACAGATAGACATATAAATATATAGACATATAGGCAGGTGGTTGACAGGAAAACAGGTAGACAAATAGACAGGTAGACTTGGAGACATGGAGACAGGTAGACAGGTAGACAGGGAGACAGGTAGACAGGTAGACAGTTAGACAGGAAGACAGATAGACAGGTAGACAGGTAGACAGGTAGACAGGTAGAAAGGTAGACAGGTAGACAGGTAGACAGGTAGACAGGTAGACAGGTAGACAGGTAGATAGGTAGACAGGTGGACAGGGAGTCGGTTGACAGGTAAACATGTTGACATCTAGACAAAAATATAAATTCACAGGAAGACAACAAGAAAGGCAGACATGTAGAAGGTTAGATAAGTAGAACTGAAGATAGGTAGACAGGACGATAGGTAAACAGAAAGAAAGGTAGACAGGCAGAAGGGTAAAACGGAAGAAAGGTAGACAGGAAGCTAGGTAGACAGATTGAAAGGTAGACAGGTAGAGTATAAGAAATATCCTTGATAAAATATCAATCTATCATATTTCAAGGTTTAAGTTTTGACTTCAGCAATCTTTCATAGATTAAAAAAAACTGATTTGATGATCAGCTTGGCCTCTGATGTTACACCGTAATCAACTACTAATCTTAACTCTGGATGTCAGAAAAAATGAAAAAAATTAGATGGATTTAATAACCCTAAAAAGAGAGTACACTCTTCTCAACAAAATTTAAATTAGAAAATTAAATTATATTTGTAACTTTATTACATTTTGTCGAATTAACACAATATTAACAACTTTTTCTTATCATTGATCATAAATTAATGGTATCACATGTCGATATATGGATTACATTTACACCATTTAAATAAAATATTCTTTCCCAAGTTAGGAAATGAAATTAAAAAAACGATAGAAATGGAAAATCTCAGAGAAAAATATAACAATGGATTTTCAAATCAGTTTACAATTTAGATTTATATTTATATTCATATAAATACATATATAGAAATCGAAATAATCAGTTTATTTAAAGTTTGTTTTGCTTGCACTTTTTTCAAAGAATTTGGAACGTTGTTTTATAAGAAATGTTAAATAAAAAGAGTGCCTTAAAGGATTAACAATGATATATCCTTTAAAAAATTTGATGTTTTCCCAATTTTTTTTATGTTTGTAAGTGTAGTTTTTTAGGGCGCTTTTTAATTTNATGAATTCTGTTAGATGAAATAGTCCATGTATGAAATATCAAAGTATTACATCATCAGATTGCAAAGATATAGGGATTACAAAATTGGAGTCAGTGGGGAAGAGTGAATTCCTTTGTCGAAGAACAGCATGCTTGGCTTACATATGTTAAAAAAGGATTTCATAGAACACTTTAAAAGGGTAGAGAAGATTTAGTGGACTTTTTTTCTACATAAAATCTAGTTTTTAGTTTTTACGAGTTAAATCTTTTATTAGACTAAATAAACGGAATTTAAGCTGGAACACAGTAGAAAATCTATAATCAATACATCTAAATAATGTTTTGTTGTCAAGTCACTTTTTAAATTATTTCTTGCAATGCACTTTTAACACGAAAGATGGATGCTTTTCAATTTTTAAGTCAATTTTAGAGTTGCTAAACATCTATTAATTAAGAAGGAAGACAAGACAAATGTTTACTTTTGCAAAAAAATGCATTCTGAAGAAATTTGAACCGCAAAACTGTGAAGAAGCAATTTAACCTTTTAAACGAGTTTGAAATATAACTTTGCTTTTCCATAAAATGTTTCAGATACTAGAACTTATAAATAAGAATTCCAAGATTTGTTCAAATCTAAATTATACCCCCAACCGTAATTTACTTGCTCAATATGAATACTTTAATTGAAGCTCAAATATTTCTATTTATTTTTGAAAACAATAATAATACTTCAAAAAAATAGATTACCTGATTCTATTCATAACCTGCTCTAACACATTGGCATTCATCCGCAGATTCAGATTCTCATCTACCGGCATTATCTTCCAACCAATTCTTCCTGACAAATGGACAAAGGTCAAAACTTTTAAAACTGTTCATAACTCGCAATTTGTACAACTCATTCACAAAAATTCAAAAGTAGCATGATCCGAACTAGTACAAGGATTGTCTGGTGTAGTGTTTACTCGTACCAGTCCGTCTAGTAACTTATTGTAACAAATATGCAACAGAATAAGGCGGACAGAACTATAGTGAATTACATAACAATCTCTTGGTGGACTCCCGAATTAAACTCAATTCATTTATTTAAAATTAAGTCGGTGAGTGCATGACTTAATGACTATGCATCCAAAAAGAAAAGATTTTGCCTGAGATCAAAAAACTGATTATGTTTATTTTTCCTCAGATTTTGGACTGAAGTATCAACTTTTAAAATTTAGTTTCTCGATCTGCACATTGTTTTTAAAACATTGGTTTTGGAACAAAATAATAATAACATGTAAGTAACATTCTTAAACGTTCATTGAAGTTGGATCCTTTAAGGTTTGTTCATAATACCTTTCTTTTATATCAATCTCTTGCATTTAATATCAATTAAAAATTTTATACCGAGTGAGTAAAAAAAATCAGTGATTGTTATGTTTGGACAAAATTTTCTAAATTTTGGTGTTCTTCGGATTTCAGGCATAAAAATATAAACTATCAAAATTTTATTGGAACCTTAAAAAAAATCCGCCAACCAAATTTTTTCTGGCAAAATGAGTTGGGAAACTCAATTGTAATTATTATATTTTTAGAGTACATTTATAAATAACGAGTGTATAAAGGAGAGGACAATGAGTTGGTCTTCTCTAGTTCCAGGATCCGACACTACTAATTTGCGGATTTCATAATCCTCGTTCGGGGATTTCTTCCTCATTAAATTTTTGATGAATTTTTATGAAATTTTGGGAAACAATTTAAAAAACATTTTCCTAACATTTTTTTTTGCGGATTTTTTTAATATTCCAAAAATATTTTTAAATTTTTCTTCCAAGATGCTCAGAACGAATTTGCTTAATAAATATTATAATCCTATTTTTTAAAGTTTGCTTTCATAAAAGTGGGATCCATAAAACTGTAGAACTAGAATAGAAGGATGACTGTCAAATTCAAATTATGATTTAAAATTGTCAAATGAACATGAAGCTCAGCAATTGTGCAGTCAACGGACCCGTTCACTTAACAAGTTGATTTTGAATTACTCATAAGATTTTATGTCGTTGTGTCATCTTCCTTTTCCACAGATTTCTGTGTCCCACTGTACCAGACGAATTTCTGTGTCCCACTGTACCTGATACAGATTTCTGTGCCCCACTGTACCTGATACAGATTGCTGTGTCTCACTGTACCTGATATAGATTTCTGTGTCCCATTATACCTGATACAGATTTCTGTGTTCTTCTGTATCCGAGACTGATTTCTGTGTCCCACTGTACCTGATACAGATTTCTGTATCCCACTATACGTGATATAGATTTCTGTGTCCCACTATACCTGATACAGATTTCTGCGTCCCACTATATCTGATATAGATTTCTTTGTCCCACTATACCTGATACCGATTACTGTGTCCCACTATACCTGATTTAGATTTCTGTGTCCCACTGTACCTGATACAGTTTTCTGTATCCCACTATACGTAATATAGATTTTTGTGTCCCACTGTTCCTCATTTAGAATTCTGTGTCCCACTATACCTGACACAGATTTCTGTGTAAAACTGTACCCGGAATAGATTTCTGTGTCCCACTGTCCTTGATATAGATTTCTGTGTCCCACTATACCTGATACAGATTTCTTGATGATGAAAGTCACCTCTTGTCCTGACAGATTCAATATATCACAACCAACCTAAATATTTAATTGTTAGTTTTCATTGTCCTCCAAAGATCAGTTTGCAAGCAGTACGCAGTTGTGTCATTCAAATACAGTGTGAACCAGAAAACAGTGGAATCCTCGTCGTCTTCACTTATTTTAATTATAAAATATCGCTTATAGATATGATCATGTAGAATTACTGAAATATTTGTGAAAAAGTGCCCGGAGCTCAGAATCAATGCTTGATCTAGATATTTTGTTAATCTGCAGATTAATATAATCTTTATTTGATATCCCGCATTCCGTCAGTGGTTGAAGGAAGCTTTAAGGGGAGCTTTGATCAGCGACTGAAGGGAGCTTTGATCAGGGGAGAAATAAATGAAATGAATCGAGAATAAGAATTGAAAGTGTTCATAGTGGATATCAAGATTAAGCGATCGGGATTATGAGTATCCAAAACAAAATTTCTCAGCGCTGAATATTTTTCAAGAAACAATTGCGAAAAAAAATAAGCGACATTTCGTAGGAAAATGTAAGAAAAAATACGACATTTATTCAACATTCTTGTGGTTATTATTGTGTATGTACTCCAGTGGTTAAATGTCAAACTATATAGATTACCGTATCAACAGATTTCTCTCTCGAAGCTCGGAAGCTTCGCGCTCTTCTCAGAGTCTTCGTAAAACTCTTTAATCTCCTCCTAGCAGGATCCGTGGGGGCCTGGATAGAAATTTATCAAAATTCAGTTTGCTTCGCACCTACTCAATCTTTCTCTATAGCATTTTTGAAAAATAGTAAGAAAAATGAAGTACCTCACGTTTTATGAAGAATAAAGAATTAAAGATACTACAATATATGCAATCGAGGACAGAGAAATATAAAATTTTTCATCTTGAGTTTAGTTTTTTTTTCTATTTATAATAATCTAAATAATACTTGAGCATTTCTTTTTTCAACAACTACAATGTTTAATGTTAAAAATCAAAAGCAACATTTTCCAAGGGAAATTTCAAAAGAATGACGATTTTTTTTGACTGTGTACATTGCCTTCGTAAAGTACTAAACCACAAAAAACCGGATTTAAAAATATTGTTTGAATGCACACTTAACTGCTTAGTCGTATATTTAGTGTTACACGGTCAGTATAATATTAGAGAAAAATGTATCTTTAACAATGAAGAATTCTTGAAAAAGATAAGAAAATATTTCACGCCAAGAATAAGTTAAACGTAGAACATTTTCTGAAATAGTTTAAACCCGACCCTTTCCCACATTTTCCCTGTTGTTTTGTATACAACAAATCAACTTTCACAGGTTTTTGGGCTCACTTTGCAGTAAATGTTTTATTACCAAGCATCTAAAATATCTTAAAACAATATATAAGAAATACAGCAATAACATGAATCACCCATTTTTCTTTTTTTACTTGGCATTTCGCTCCAGTTCTTAACCTAGGTTTTGGTTTATTGTCCAGAGGTTGGAACCTATATATGTGGAGTATATTCAATCTTGGATACTCGATCTCGATATCCAATCTTGGATACTCAATCTTGATATCCAATCTTGAATACTTGATCTCAATATCCAATCTTGAATACTTGATCTCGATATCCAATCTTGGATACTTGATCTCAATATCCAATCTTGAATACTTGATCTCGATATCCAATTTTGGATACTTGATCTCGATATCCAATCTTGGATACTCGATCTCGATATCCAATTTTAAATACTTGATCACGATATCCAATCTTGAATACTTGATCTAGATATCCAATCTTGGATACTCGATCTCGATATCCAATCTTGAATACTTGATCTCGATATTCAATCTTGAATACTTGATCTCGATATCCAATCTTGAATATTTGATCTCGATATTCAATCTTGAATACTTGATCTCGGTATCCAATCTTGAATACTTGATCTCGTTATTCAATCTTGAATACTTAATCTCGGTATCAAATCTTGAATACTTGATCTCGGTATCCAATCTTGAATACTTAATCTCGGTATCCAATCTTGAATACTTGCTCTCGTTATTCAATCTTGAATACTTGATCTAGATATCCAATCTTGAATACTTGATCTCGATATCCAATCTTGAATACTTGAACTCGATATTCAATCTTGAATACTTGATCTCGATATCTAATCTTGAATATTTGATCTCAATATCCAATCTTGAATGCTTGTTCTCAATATCCAATCTTGAATACTTGATCTCGATATTCAATCTTAAATACTTGTTCTCAATATCCAATTTATCCAGAATTTATCAACCAACCTTAGAGAGTAAAGGAGAATCAGCAGAGACCGGGGTTTTTCTGGAGGGTGAGTCGGGGGGAGAGGGGGATAATGGAGGTATTGGAGATAAGGAAGCACTTGTACATACAGACATTATCTCCAGTCTAAAACAGTAAAAGGTTGTTAACAAAAAAAGACCTTTACATTTTTTTTAATAATTAAAACTGAAATATACAGTTGGAACCAGAAAACTATTGAATAAGAAGACGATTTTTAGTTATTTATTTTCTTTGTAACAAATATTGCTTTAATGTAACATTCCTAGTCCAGAGTTTTCTGATTCTAATTGTAAGAAATATCACCAGTTTCTTTTAGCTCAACATCAGAGCCCGTTCTCTGGATTCAAATGTATGAACAGTGATCGTACTTTAAAGGACGATATTTTGGCCGACAGATTAATATTTCTAAATCTACAGTTTGAAGGACAGTCTATACACCAGGAACCTCTTTAAATAAAGGACTCCTCAAATTTTGTATGCAATCTCAGTACAGAGAAATGCACTTCTTTTTGGGAAAAATTTAGATATTTAAAGATTCGAAATATGAATTTTATAAGTTTTTTTTCAGTCTTTATTAAAGGGACCATGCAATCGTAATTCCCAGTGACCCCACATGCATAGAAGGTAATGACTGATTCACAGCGATACCCATGAAACTTTATTGTGATCAAGAATGTGGAAGATATTGTAGTTTTTCTTAGTTTAAAAGTGTTTCATTTTTATAATTCCAAATGTTTTGCTGCAGTAGAAATGCGCAAGCCACTTTTAGCGAGAAGCCACAAAAAAAATAATTAGGTTTTGAAATAAAAAAAAAATGATATCTCATTAATACTTGATCAATAATCAGACAACGCTTTTATGGGTATCGTTGTGAATCAGGCATTGTCAACTTTGCATTGTGGGTCACTTGAAAAAACATTCCCTTTTATCATAAAAATCTAAGATAAAAATAACTTTATTTTGAACTGACATGTATTGCCCTTAAATATTGAAATCTTAATTTAAAGTGTTAAAACCTGGTAGTTAGTTCCGCCTCAGTAAACTTTACAAATATTACCTATTTCAGTAAGTTTAACATTTAACTTAGAAAATAGGAAACTAATGGAATCTTTATTGTACTTACTGCTATACTTTGATGTTGTTAACAAGCAATAAGTTTTATGAAACACTTATTAAGTCATTCTTAAAGTGAAATGGGTTTGTTTACACTACACAATTGATGTATATAATTGATTCTAAAAGTAGTCTTCTATTTCAGAGTTTTCTGGTTATTACTGTATAGCGTATAAGCTATCTTGTCCCGTTGTTTAAATTACATTCACCCATTATCAACAAAAAACAGTTCAAGATTTTGCAGATTTTTTTGTCACTGTTGGTGAAATTTTATGATTTTTTTAATGTAAACGTTCAATTCTAGCTGACCTTTCCTGGGGTCTTGTCAGGTCCCAACCCAACACATAAGACCCAATCGCGGTTCATCCCTTTCAGATCAATAATTACCTATAATCTGGAGAAGACTCCCTGGTCGAGATTGAAGTGGAATTACAATTGTTATCAGGACTGTAACTTCCATACTCACACTGGAAATATAATTGTTATTAGGATTATAACTCCATCAAAAAGGGAGTGTTCGCGAAAAATGAAAGGAGGTATAGGCATGTAGGGTTGTTAATCGTCAATGAAAACGATCGTTGTTTTTCAATCGTTTACAAAGACGATCGTTTCGTTTTCAGAAAAAGCGATCGTTTTTACAACAACCCACTCGTTTTGAACTTTTAGAAAACGATTTGTGACTGTTTTTATACGATTGTTTTTTAAAACGATCGCTTTTGAAAAAAAACGATCGTTTTTGAAAAAAAATTTGTTGAAACTTATGCTAACGATCTTTAACGAAGGGTTGTTGTTAACGATCGTTATCGACGACCCTTTGTTAACGGTCGTTAGCATATTAATAAATAAGGTTGTAATATCTGAATGATTTGATTAAAATTAAATTGATTTTTTTTACGATCCGAGTCGTGGATTGCAACTTTTTCAATTTGGGTGGATGCTACGGTATTCAGCATAAGTCGTTTTTAACAATTTTCTCCTTATAGACGCAACAGATAGAAGTAAGATTAGTAGCGATCAAAAGAGCTTATTTTTCGCCGTAAGCCTAAACCCCCTTTCATTTTTCGCGAACACTCCTTTAATAAAGAAGGCAATAGTCGTCCAATTTTGCAACTCACACTGTAACAAAAAAACATTCATTGCACTTGTTATGACTAATTATTATTATTTTTTATGATTATAATTATAGACGTCAACTTTTTTTTTAACTCGCAATATAATCAAAAGTTATTTGATTTTATTACAATTGTTATCAGGACTGTAACTACCATGGTCACTTTTTATGTAATTAAAAGTTTTTCGCATTACTGTCAATTGTTATAAGAACTAATTCCCATTTTATTAAAATAAAATTATCCACTCCTGTATGCCGAGTCCATTAGCGCTATATCCAATCAGGGTTCAGTCATGTGTTTGTTGTCTATTCTGAACCAATAGAAATAGTATGGCGGTAATATCTATCTTTCTATCTATCTCATTATCCATTTAGAGTTAGGAATTACTCAATCGGCGCTATCAGTAAATAAAAAATATTTACTTCTATTGAAACTATATTAGTTGAAGAAAATATTTAAAATTCATTAGTTACAAAATACATTTTTTCATGTATTTTGTAACTAATGAATTTAAAATACTCGTTGTTAATTCTGTGTAAGACCAGTAACAATTTTGCCTTTAGTTTATTTTTAATGAATCTATATTATTAGCGTACAGACATAACACAGACACAGCTCAGTACAGACAAGCTGTTTGCAAGTTTAACTAGTTTAAAGTTTAAATGCTTGCAACATATATCAGAACGAATTAGGAAAATATTATAGATGGTGACACTTGCTCTACATTCTCTTACAGTGAGGGTGGGGAGGGGAGTGAAGTGAAGCCCCCTCGGAAAATCAATTAGAATTCGATTTGCCCCCTTTGATAAATTCCTGTGTATGCCCCTGCCTGACAGGGTGCTAATATTAGCATAATGTGAGATTTTAACTAATTTAAAAAAATCAAACTGAAGTGGCTAAACGTGCAATTTTTAAAGCATTCTATGCAATATACAACAAATTAAGCGGAGGACATAAAACTGGCGTCGTCATCAACTATGAGTTTATGTTGAAGGTTTTCTTTTTAAACTGCGGCTTATGAAGGCCAGACACAGCATGTGCAGGTCAGCTGGGAAGACATTAGAATTATAACGGTTTTATTTGTGTTTACGTGATAATTCGAACAAGCCAAACAGAGTCTAATTTTAACCCAAGCCACGCCGACCGTTATTTCAGAAGGCGGGGTGCAGGGGAGGCGGCCCGACAAGCCGGGAAAGCTAGGGTTAAAATCCAGGCAAGGGTGGAGGGAGGATCCCCGGAGAGGGGGCAGTTGGAAATCAACCCTTTCGATGTGAGGTGGAAAAATATCCTGAGCATTCATCTTCCGCTGACTAATATTCGTTTTTCATCGATCGTATAGTATTTTTAGTTTCTAAGTGTTTGTATAATAATAATAATAAATTATAAAACCGTATCTCGGAATATTTGATAATTGAGTTGTTGCCTTGAAATTTTAACATATTCTCTAGTATGAATAGAATATAATTATAGGATTTGAAATTGTTAAAGTAAAATTATGTCAAAATAAGAGATATTTTTTTACAAAAGTATATCTGTCGTGCATTGTAATTGTTGAAATAGGTTTTAAATAGATTTAAATTTTGAATAATCGATCATTAAAAAAGACATTTGATTAGTGGTCATTTGTACTTTTTATCCTTATTAAGTTAATTAAAAGTAGAAATATCTGAACATCAACTAAAGTGACGAATTTGAAAATTTTAAATTCATCAAAGTTGAAAAGTTTAAATATTTTTGCATTAACCTGTCTCCATTTTAGAATAAACATATTGTGGGACGTTAGAAAGCGGCAGATTTGATTTGATTTTCTTTTCGATAGAAAAAGTTGACCTTGAATCTAGTATTGCACTTTTTTGCACTTCTTTGTAGTTTTAAATTTACAGATATTTTGAATTTATAACTGGTTTCAAATATTTTACATTTATTTTTCCAGCAATATAGTAAAACTGGTCCTAAAAAGAACGGCCTTGAAAAATGACTTCCATAGTCTAGAGAAGGATGACTCTCTTCTAGTGGTTGAATGGAACGAATAATAGAAGACTAGAATTTCCATAAAGGACGACCAAATAGATCATAAAAAGAACGGCCTTGAAACAATGACTTCCATAGTCTTGAGACGACCAAATAGATCATCAAAAGGACGAATACTTGGCCCCGAAAAGGACAACTCACCAGTTTTTAAAAATGAAGACTACCTGGTTCTGAAAAGGATGACTACCTGGTACGGAAAAGGACGTCTAGTCAGATGATAAAAAGAAAGAATACTTGGTCCTGAAAATGAAGACTACCTGGTCCTGAAAAGAAAGACTACCTGGTCCTGAAAAGAAAGGTTACCTGGTCCTGAAAAGGATGACTACCTGGTTCTGAAAAGAAAGGTTACCTGGTCCTGAAAAGGAAGACTACCTGGTCCTGAAAAGGAAGACTACCTGGTTCTGAAAAGGATGACTACCTGGTCCGGAAAAGGACGTCTAGTCAGATAATAAAAAGAATGACTACTTGGTCCTGAAAATGAAGACTACCTGGTCCTGAAAAGGAAGACTACCTGGTCCTGAAAAGAAAGACTACCTGGTCCTGAAAAGAAAGACTACCTGGTCCTGAAAATGTCCTGTTTCAATGCTTGGTACTCTTGTGCCTCCTTCCTTCACCATATTCAAAATAATGTCTGAAAATTAAACTATTATAAATCAATAATCAAATTCATAAATGATAAAGATTTAAATATTACATTGAAAATCTAAAGAAAGACGACTAGAACGAAGTTAAGATGAAAATAAAAATCTAAATTTTGCTTTAATACAATTATCTTAGGGAACACGTTCGTTTAGTCTATTATTAAACTTTTACAATAATAATATTATTGTGGTCAACATTTTTTTAAAAATCCACCTATTGGACAATGGTCGGCAATTATATCAATACAATGAAGACGGCTTTTTATGAGTAATCCTTTAACATCTATAACAAGAATTTATCAAATCACAAATTAAATTCTCTTTTTTAAATGTTAAAGTGTTTCCGCTATTTGTTTAGATAAAAAGTCGTCTTTATTGTATTAATATTTACGACGACGATTGTATTTCTTACTCTTTCTTTAGTAGTCATGAAAAATACTAGAAACAATAACATTTTTTCTAGTTATTATTTAAGTTGGGTCACAAAATATCAGATTCTAACTTGTTAAGAAAACCCCAAAATTTTTCTTGATTCTCCGTCACAGAAATTTGCATGAGTTACAGGTCTGTGTATAAAAAGACCGTGTTAAAATATTTGTTTAAATTATGTGGAGACTCAACATAAACATACTAATGTGTATCTAGAGTTCGCAGAAAAAATACGAGTAAACAACAACTTGTAATTCGAATCCTGCCGCCCAACGACGAGGGAGGGATCCCACAGCTTCCCCCATGCAGAAACGAGCCTCCAGAATTGCAATGCAGTACGAGCCTCCGTTTTATACAGCTCAGCTTTTTTAAAACTCCTGATTTTTATTATTTTACTGAAGATTTATTTATTTATTGATCGTCATGATTTGTAACTCATACATAGTGGCTTACAAAATTCATGTTCAATTGTAAAACATTTCTTCAAATTTTCATTACTTTTGTTTTTTATTGTTTACGGATATTAGAGTTTCATAAACAGGTATCGCTTAAATCAAAGATTATGAAAATGAAATTTTTCTAGTTTTTTTAATTACCAGGCTTTTAGGGCGCTTCGTGCCCATCTTCCATTCTAATTGTGAACATGTTCACTTTGTTTATATATTGTAAAACAAGAGCAAAAAAAGATCGCAGATTTCATGCACTTTTAAAATTTTTAAATATTTTATGAAAATCGAATTTGATGGAGGCAAATTTTTGAAAATTTGATCATCCATAAACCTTTCCTGGGGTCATGTTCAGCCGTTTTGACGGATACAAATAAACAAACAGTCAAGCAAAGTATATATATATATAGATTGATATGTACTTTTGATCATTTATTAAACCTCCCATGCAATGGAAGACTGCTCGAGCCTCGTCAAAGACTATTCTTGTTCAGACTTTTTTTTAAAAATTGCATAGATCTAATAAACAATAAACTAAATAATGCCTCTATGTCAAATCTTTTAATTAAACGACATGTACGACGCAGGTTCAATTTGATGCATTGCGCATGCCCACTACAGTATGCGTGTAGCAGAGGTTCATTCTGCCTAGCAAATCTGGGAGGCTCTCATATGGTATAGCAGAGGCTCATAGCATCTATGGGTTCCCTCCCAAACCCAACCTTGCTTCAATATATAAAGTTGTAAACTTGTAACTCTTCACTAATGTGAACAATACTAAACAAAGAGATGAATATAAGTGTTTAAGCTAACTTTTCAGTTTTACAGAGTCTGGGATGTTGTCGTTTTTATTCCGTTAATTAACAAATAGTTAAATTAACGTGACAGCGGAGAAAGGTTACAGTATGCATGATAATTGAAATATGAAACTTTTCATTGACGGTATTTTCCATTGATCAAACCATTTTCCGCCAGATCCTGCAAGTTTGAAGCATCCAAAAAAAACAGACTAAAACCAACGAAATTTAAAGCTTTGTCTACAGAGGCTGTTTAAAATTTAACGGTTATATTCTTTTATTAACAACACATGCTGTCCTTAACAGAAGTTTTAACGAACTTTCAAAACATTTTGTCAGCATAATTCATTTTTTTCAGTTTAAATTCAAAATCCTTGATGACGAACAAAAATCAAATTCTCAATTTATCCATTGTATTAAAGGGGCTTTTTTAAGATAGATAGATAAATAGAAAGATAACGTTTATTGCTAAAATGCATATATCTGTGTACAGAAAGAGTTTACAATTACAAATTGATGATTATATTAACAGTACAAGTAAAAAGCAATTAGGTGGAAAATAGCTCTTGGCTGTTTTGATTATTTTTTCCACCTAATTTCAATAATGATAGATTTATGATGAATTGTTACCAAATTGATAAAGATAAAGATGAAAGCTCGTTGTTAAGAAAAAAAAAATTCTATTTTGCAGCCAATTCTCGGGTAATCCCATATTTATTGAAAGGGACTGTAAGCGTTATTTCAAGTGACCCTTCATGCAAAGATGGCAATAACCGCGGCAATGCCAAACGGTACCCATAAAACTTTATTATGATCAATAATGTTGTAGATATTCTAGGATTCAACCAGGGAGTAAGGAATAGAAGGGAGATATAACTGATACGGTTCACCCTACCATATGATTATGCGTGCTTTGCAGACGGATACTCCATTTGTATAAGAAATATTCAAAATAGATTATTGTATACGCGGTAATTGTACACCAGACAAATATTTCTTATTTAAACTGAGTACCCGTCTGCAAAGCATGTATATCGTATGGTAGGGCGGTCCGCGTCTGTTATATCTCCCTTCTATTCCTTATTCCCATGACTTCAACTGTTCAGTTTCAAAACTTCCCATATGTTTTCCTTTAGTAAAAATGCACAAGTTCCTTTAGAACCCAAGATTGAAAATAACCAGAGCTGGGAACTTTTGAATGGTGGATATCGGGAATAATGCTTGATCCACTCTTGTTTTTAATCTTCAGATTAATTAACCGATCGGGATTAAGGATATCCCATTCTAAAGTTTTCAGCTCAGTTTTCCAAGTTATAACCGTTGATATTTGATTCACACTTGATCAGACAAAGCTTTTAAGGGCACCATTGTGATTTGGGATTTGCATGGAAGTTCATGAAACACCTCATTCTAATTAACATTAATTTATAAAAAAAAGTTTTCTTTCGGGTTATAAAATAATTTAAAAAAACTAAACTTGGTTTGAGATCTTATGTAGCAATTATCGTAAAAACGTCTTATAGTTGTCAAATGAATACTGATATTTATTTTATAATACTGCACACATAGATTCAGCCTGCTTATAAAAAGTCTCATTAATTTTAAGACAGGGTCGACTTTGAAGTGTCGCAACGCCATGGGCTTTGATCTTACCGCTCTGACTCACTTATGCTTTTCTGCAGCCCTTAACATGTACATTTTAGCAATATGAAGTACTTTATCTTTGGGTTTTAAAAGGTTATTGGCAAAACTCTTATATATTTGTGCTGGAGAGCTCGAGACTTTCAAATCGCAGTATTTGCACGTTCAGTTCAATATAAAGATTCCTAGACAGTCACTCCCTTTAATGAACGGATTTTAATAGTACTGCTGGAAAACCTAAGACGTCCTAACTACAACGATAATGAGAAAATGGAAATGTATGGACAACATCTTTTTCTCACATTTTAGAAATTTAACATGCTTTTGCGCCCAACTTTTTACCAAATAAGTCACGTGTTATTTCTAATTCTTCTGACATAACTATCAAATAAAAACAAAAAATTGAATCGTTTTCTTAATCATTTTCGTTTAGGTCATCACTAAAAAAACACAAGTCGGAACTGAAAGAAAATAATAAAATAAAATAATTTTTTTTAATGGTGAGAATATTAAAACACTTTAGGGTTAAAAACGGCTACTATGAGCTAGGGTTTGTTAGTTACTGAGGAGGGGAAATATGGTGAGCGGATAGATGGGTCAACTCGGGGTCGGTCTACCTACCTTTCCTCATCACACAAAGGTTAACCTCTCTCCGCTAAGTCGGGCCGAGCCACTTCAGGAAGCTACAGGGTTACCCAGAAAGGATGAGACTTCAGAGAAATCTGTACGGAATATAAATATAATATATATAAACTGTCTGTTTTTCTTTATATTCTGGATTCCCAGCAAAGGAATTGAATATTTGCCACAAACTCATATTTTAAAATTCATTTATCTTTGCAACCTGATGGTGTAAACCTTTACTATTTCAAACTTAGATTATTTGATCTAACCCAACTCATAGTTTGAAATATAAAAGATCTATGACACTGGGTTTCAAAGATATAGGGATTAAAAAATCAGAGTTTGTTGCAAAGACTCAATTCCTTTGAACTTCTTTATTTCTTTGCCAAATCATTGGATAAGCCATTAAAAGACAACATTCAAGGTTAAAGATTTATTTGAAAGGTTAAATCTTCTTCATAGTCTCATCCTTAGTTGGCAACCCTGCATAATGAAAACACAATCAATTTCTAAATATTTAAACATTTTTGCAAAGGAAGATTTATTAAGGAAATGCACTTAAGGGGAGACTGTCAACGTGGCTTGAGTGTCCATCCAAACCAAAAAAGCGATTGACAAAAGTACCTTAATACATGAGTCAACTGTCCAATAGCATTTATGAAAATGCGCTAGTAAATTAAATTAAGAAACCGCAATGGAAAACTGAAATTTTGTCTACATGTCTAAAAAGTTTTTGCAGTTTTCTGTAAGTTATCATAACGAATGCTAAAATATATTTTTTGCAGAAATCTACAAATAGTTTAGACAATCAAATCAGCTGGCTCACAGAAAAGTTTAATAATTAACAAATGTTTTATATTTAAATGATTGATTTGTTATAGGAAGAGACCGACAAGGTAACACATTTGAACCAAGAGTGCAGTTTTACAATTTTTTTACAATTATTTGATAACCCGACGAAAAATGTAAAAAAACTAATTTGTTGTAAAATGTTAAGTTGAGTATAGGTTGACTTTTTTATGAAAAACTTAGTTTGCAGGCACAGCTGGGTTCCCAGGCTAGTTCATACATATTGCAAAGTTAAAATTTGAAGAAAATTATCTTTTACATATTTTATAATTTTGCATCGTCAGCCTTTTCCAGCTCTCACGAAACTTAAACATTTTCCAGTAAAATGCTTAAATATAACAGTTGCATACAATTAGGAGGTTTTTATCTATTACAGAGGAAGTCTGTGAAGCGATTTGTCCTAAGGGCGAGAGGTCCAAATGGGAGGGGGGGAGGGGGCAGATTTTGAGAGCCATCCTTTTTAGTTTTCTAATTGTTTTTTTAGTCGTACTGCTTTTGGGAGAACAAAATATTGAACGCTTAAGTTAATACAAACAAACGGAGTTACTTGGAAAAGCTTATTTGTTCATGAAAAATACAATAATTCTTATTTTGTTTTTCTTTAATATGTATTTACTAGTTTCTTTCTATTTAGATTTAAAGTTATTGGATAAATATGATCTTTTATTGCTTGCGTTAAATAAACAATATTAGATATTTGGTTGTGGTAAAGTCAAGATGTTCTTAATTGAATTTTCTAGTAGTTTTTGTCTTTCTTGTTTATTAAAAGCAGTTCGATTTATCGAACATGTTGTCTTTCTTGTTTATTAAAAGCAGTTCGATTTATCGAACATGTTGGTAGAACTCAAAGATTATTGAAGAACGTTTATAACGTGGCCCAATTTTACTTCGATACAGCTTGACATATTCAGCTCAACCTATACAGAGTTATCCGCAAAGAATGAGACTTTTATAACAACTCATGGAGCTTTTCAAATATGACGGTCTTTTGGAATTGAGTTTGAACTTGAACTTGAGTTTGAACAAAATATCCATCTTGACAGGAAATTAATAAGGTTAGAGCTGTAATAAACAAGAAAAGTAAGAAAAATTAAAAATCAAATTTCGTATTGTCGTCTCTAAGTCTCATTCTTTGTGGATAACCCTGACGTTTCGTGTTGTAGGTTTCCTAAGTGTGTTGGGACATTTCATAGAAAGACACTCCATAGTTAACCATAGGACATTTTATAGATAGAACATTTTATAGATAGGACATTTCATAGATAAGACATTTCATAGACAGAGAAGATTTTTCATAGACAGAGGACATTTTTTTACAAATGAAATTTTTTTCTTTTCTTTTCTTCTTCATATTTTCTTTTGTCAATGAAAAATCTTCTCTGTCTTTGAAATGTCTTATTTATGAAATGTCCTATACGTATGAAATGTCCTTAATATAAAATGTCCTATTTATGAAATGTCCTCTTTATGAAATGTCCTCTTTATGAAATGTCCTCTTTATGAAATGTCCTCTTTATGAAATGTCCTATCCATAAAATGTCCTATCTATGAAATGTATTTCTATGAAATGTCCTATCTATGAAATGTATTTCTATGAAATGTCCTATCTATAAAATGTCTTTTCTATGAAATATCCCAATGCCTTCGTAAGTTTCCTGGGATAAGAAAATATATATGTTTACTGTCGGTGAGTTTATGGTGTTTGTTTTGCCGCTATACACGATTAAATCTTGTCTGCAATGCGAATGTAAAAATAGATTTAAAAACAACAAAAACTTTACACAATAACCTACTTTAAGATTTATTTACGTACTTTCTTATTTACAGAGTGCACTGCACTCATGATTCACTGTATTTGAAGTTTTGAAACATTTAAAAAATTAGGAATTGGCTTCAATGTTTTTAGTGTATTGGTTTTGACAATAAAATTATTTTAAGAAACATTTCATAACAGGGTTTGTCAAGTTGTCAACTCAATTACGGACAATCCACTCTATTTGAAATTACGCTTACAGTAAAGGAATTGAGTCTTTGGAACAAAATCAAATATTTAAACCTCAATATCTTTAGAACTCGATGTTATAAACCTTTGATATTTCAAAATCAGATTATTTGATCAACAGAATTCATATTTTGAAATATCTAAGGTCTGCAAACATTTGGTTCCAAAGTTATGAAATCAGAGTTTGTGGCATAAGACTCAATTTCTTTAAGAAAAATTTGGTTGTTTTAACAATCTATTAAGTTTTCAGAAACAACGATTCTCAGACAAAGGTTGGGAAATATTAAAATACTATTTATAACTCCATTATTAACGAAAATACCCGTTTTTCATGTTCCCCCTGTATACAAATCCTAGTTGTCAAGTCCCCCTGTATATATTACCCTGATTAACTGTATCCGGGTCCAACCCTGCGAAAGTACGAGAATACTAGCTTAAATTGACTCGTCTCAGATATTTTGATATGATCGAGCATGAACATTGAAATTTTGAAATTAAAAGTAATAAAGATTTTTTATTTTATATTTTTACCGTGATTTATTACTTTCATGTCACAACCTTCATTTCTACCTTGGAACCTTTTAAAACATTTTGTCNTTTGAATTTTTGCAGGGTTATTAAAAACATTGTTGCAATTTTAATAGCGGACTTTGCATCTTAAATTACTATGACGTTTAATAGATTTTTTTGCGTATAATAAAGTCTTTTGATTAAAATTTTATAAAAAAGATCAAAGAATAAAAAAAGTGTATCTTGCTTCCCTGGATATTTTACTAGATTACAACAAACTTAACTATACACACAGGAAAAAAATATTTTTAAAAATGGATTGCTAATTTTTTATTGGTTCACCCTGTCTGAATATAATATGCATATAAATGATTTGCTAAATCCTTGGAACGGATTCGTATCTAATTATTCTAAAACCCAAGTATTCATTGTATTCAAGAAACGACTAGAGAATTAGCGTGGTGAACAGTGTGCTAATGACAATTTGAGTAATTAGGAGTTGACATGTTTGGCAACCAGGTGCAGTGCGGAAGTGGCGTCCTGGTGGCAAGCACTAATGTGATGCTGCGACATTCCTAAATTTGAGCCTTCGCCACAAACTATGTTTTCTAATCACTATATCTCTTCAGCCAGTTGTTAAACCTTTGATATTCCAAACTTGATATTTTTTATCCAAAAGGGAATGGGCACATTTCCCCTCAAATGACACAAATTTTTAAGATGGATTAACGCCTTCATATATATTTTTNACATATATATACATAATATGTTTATAGAAGCTAGTATAGAACAAATATTATCAATTATTATTATTTCATTATAATTTAGATGAACAGATGAAATATATGGAAATATGAACATCTAAAAACAGAGCACTTGCTTAAACTATATATATATGGGACATTTCATAGATGGGACATTTCATAAATGGGACATTTCATAGATGGGACATTTAAAACAGGACATTTATTAGATGGGACATATCATAAATGGGACATTTAATAAATGGGACATTAAAAACAGGACATTTCTTAGATGGGACATATCATAGATGGGACATTTCATAGATGGGACATTTAAAACAGGACATTTTTTTAGATGGGACATATTTTAGATGAGACATTACATAGATGGGACATTTAATAAATGGGACATTTATTAAATGTGACATTAAAAACAGGACATTTCTTAGATGGGACATATCATAGATGGGACATTTCATAGATGGGACATTTAAAACAGGACATTTCTTAGATGGGACATATTATAGATGAGACATTACATAGATGGGACATTTAAAACAGGACATTTCTTAGATGGGACATATCATAGATGGGACATTTATTAGATGGGACATATTATAGATGAGACATTACATAGATGGGACATTTAAAACAGGACATTTCTTAGATGGGACATATCATAGATGGGACATTTCATAGATGGGACATTTAAAACAGGAAATTTCTTAGATGGGACATACTATAGATGAGACATTACATAGATGGGACATTTCATAAATGGGACATTTAAAACAGGACATTTTCTTAGATGGGACATATCATAGATGGGACATTTCATAGATGGAACATTTCATAGATGGGACAGTTCAAGCAGAGACATTTTAAACAGGAACATTTCAAACAGGGGATATTTCATAG